TATACCGTATCCCTTGTTTGGAACGCCTTTGCATATCTCTTTACATAGGCTGTTCCATTCACAATAACAAGTCGAAAATGATTAACATCTTTTAGACTCTCCACCATTTCTCTTGTAATCCCTTTCTTCTTCCATGTCTTTAAGTCTTCGTGTATCCATCGAAAGTACTCGGGGCATGTTTCGTTCGATGTAAAGGTGTGATTGAATGTAGGAGGGTAGTTTGCTGGGCATGTTATAGTCATGTTGCTTGAGGTGCAGTTGAGAAGATACTCATCTCTCTTTGGGTACTCATGTTTGTTACGGTTTGAGAACATTGAGAAGGTGAATGACCCTGAGCTGCTTGCTAGAGTTGACTGAGAAAAATGCATCAAAAAAAATATGGCTTAGTATTCTTGGTTGATTAACATAATTACACAATAAAATAAAATAAAAAATTTTGTTTAGCGTTATGCATAAGGTAAGTTATATTTGGAATATTAATTTAGAGACTTGTTATAAACACAATTCTTAAAAAACTGACAAGTATCCGTACATTGATTGATATTCTATCAACAATAGAAATGCATCGAGATTTTATATGACATATGACAACCATACATGTTTCATCATTCAAGTCTAGCTAGCAAATATAAATTTCATTATTAGACGTATAGAAATGATATTGAAGGTTCCATAATCTATAATCCTAACGACTTCATAGTCTACCCCTATTTTCTATCCTAAGTCGTACGAACTTTTTTTTTTTTTTTTTGGGACACAAGGATTACGTAGAACTGGTTATTGTATAAGGTAACCTGATGGGGTAAAAAGGTTTTTATTAAAAATGGACAAATTCATTATTGGACAAGGTTAATACAATAAGCTAAGGCCAAAATGTTAGCTTAATTAGATACAAAAAAGAAAGTAGATTCAAGCACAAAAAAGTGACAAAATTTCCTGTTTATTGACCTATCTGTTATTGACCCACTGGCCTCTATATATTAATCTACGAGGTTACGGTCCATATTTAACCCAATTAAAAGTGACCATATTTTGACATGACCCACACCCACAATTACCAAGCCCAGTCCTAAGGCAGGCAATCCACCACGTACTAGTAAGTTGTAGGTTACTTTACAATATAATTTTCAAAGGTTTTGATTGGAAATTTCCTTACAAATCAACCAATTGAATTCATCGAAGGAGTCACTTATATACGAGAAAATAATTAAAACCATTACTATCTGATTTGAAAGAGCTAATTTAGGAGTTTATATCAAACATTACTTGATCGATTTGTCTATTGCTCAAAAGTTGACTTTGTAGCACTTGCTATCCAATATCTATAATCGCATATTTTGATTATTAAGTAATATTCTCTTTACTTAATATTTATCGAACTTTAATCATTTAAATGTACTTAAAATTATTTTTATTTTATAGTGATTAAAACTATTTTTACCAATTCTCTTTTATATTTGATCCTTAAAATTACAAATTTTATCAAAATATGGACTTACATCACCAAGCTATAAAATATTTCTCTAAATTTGAATTCACTAAAACCAACTTTGCATATGAAATCATGAACACCGCAACATTTCAATATCACCGACTATGTTAGAGATTGCTAGTAATATGTCAAGGAAACTATGTATCTATGTCATTAATGGGTGACAATTGTCTCATTGTGAATTGTGGCGGGTGCCAAAAACTGACTTGACTGACTTGGGGAAAAAAAAAAAAAAAAAAAATCCAATCTAGATTTCTGACTTAGCTTGTATGGACCTTATGAATTAGTATGGTTAGACTTTGAAATAAATCGATTTAATCCGATCTCACCGAATCCGTCTCAATTACCCAAATTGACACCTTTATTAGCTTGTAACTCTTGTGAGTAACTTATTGTCCTGTTACAACTGCTGCGTGTCTAATTTAGTACGGAGTAAGTTACAGCCTTTACAGGACAATAAGAATTAGCCCATATGCTTTAACTTTTAAAAAAGCTCAAAAACTGCCTATTTGTCAATACCAATTAAACAAGTTAAACCTATATTATTACTCCATTAAAGCCCACCGTACCACGAAAAACCAAATTTTCAAAGTTGTCTACACCCCACCCAAAAAAGAGAGGAAAAAAAAGAAAGAAAAAAAAAAAAAAAAAAAAAAAAAAAAAAAAGCAAGTTATGTATCAAAGTACAAGAATCATGATCATATGAAATTACTCAAGAAAATAAAAAACATACAAGTTATAAACAAGGTAAGAATAATCACTAATACAACAATTATGAACATAATCAAGTCACACCATGCATCATATAATTCATAAATCATCATTTATCATGGTAATAACTTTTAAATTAAACATTAAATTCAATAATCATAAACATATATACTACCAAAATTAAATGAATTGATTAAAAACTCAAAGGAAAAAAGAACAGAGGAAAGAAGAAAATGAGTAAAAAAACATGGACTTACAATATCAGACCATCGAGTCAAAACAAGGGTACATATGAAAAGGAAGAAGAGAAGCAAAGAAGCTGTTGTTGCGGAAAATCTATTTGATTTCGACGACGACGATGAAGAAAAAGAACAAACTTGCAATTTGAATGAATCCCATGATTTTTTCATACTATTTGAGTTATTGTTTGAAGAGGAAGAAGTAGAATCTTCCATCTTCTCTATTTTTATTTTTTCTTTGTTTGAACAGTTGGTAATTCATGCACTAAGAAATGTGTAAACTTATATATATACACCAAATTATACTATATGATGTAATATGGACTATATGGTTGATTAATGACATAGATAATTTGATAATAAAAACAATAATAATAATAATAATAATAATAATAATAATAATAATAATAATAATAATAATATTATTGTTAAATTAGTGAGGTTGAATTTTCTTGGGAGTGAAAGAAAAAAGAAAGGTTTAGTCGTCATAACTGATAAGGTACGGGGAATGGGGATACTATTAGTTAATAGTTAGTCTTACGTTTGACATTAACGTGTGGAATATTCAAGATTTTTCTTATTTATTTATTTTATTCTTTGTTTTAATGGCAAGAAAAAGCTCCAATTTATTATCTTTATTAATATTACCTAATTATCATACTTTATCATATAATTATTCATGTTCATAAATGATTTTAATTTATTGGGTTGAATATGATATCACGTGTAGTTATTAATATTATTATTATTATTAAATGTTACTCTAATTTATTTTGAATAATAACAAGATTACCTAACGTGTAGTATATTGAGCTTTTGGGTCTAGGGTCTTAAACTCTTGATAACCCAAGTGAATTTCAATGAGGTAAAAGCTTTTTAGAAGTGACTATTTCAAAATTTGTATTCTTGTATTAATGGAAATTAAACGACCAAGCAAAGCTCGAATTCACTAATATATTTCTTAATATGAATGGTTTTACGGTGTATTTAGAGTCAGAATATAATGAAAAGTAGGTTAAATTTAGTTTAAATCTTATATGTCATTTAAAGACTTTTATCAACTAATTAGCTAACATCTATATTAAATTTCTCTCTTAAAATGTAAAAATTATACATTAGGACTTTCTCGAGAGGTGTCACGTCTTAGGGAGTTGGGGGTAAACCTTTGCACCGAGACCTCCAAAAAGTAACGGCTTTATTACGTCTTGCTTCCTGACCTCAGACATTTGTTTTCTAGCACATACTCCGTATTATACACTGTGTAGACCAAACTAAATAAACTTTGGAGATCACATAAATTAAACTTTACAATGTACATTGATTTGGCTGAAGATACCCTTGAAAATATGGATCCTTAACCTTATAGTGTATCTTGTACTTTAAAAAGAAATCGTTTACATGTTTTAAAGCCAATCAATTATAAAGTACCCCAGATTTAGCCTCGAGCTAAATGATGTGATAAGCCAAAGATATGATTAATTAAGATTAGATTATTTTTAGAACATTAACAAGATTTGACTTGAACCAACTAAGGAATTTGGTCGTTTATGCATAAGCAGGTCATTAGGAGACTAAATAAAATTAATTAATTATTTATTATTAAGCAAACGAGCTGGTTGCTGATTTGCTTTTAGCTTAACTTCAATTCTTTTATTCTCTCAAGTCTGAATGTTGCACAAACAGACCAAACTAGTTCTATTAGGAATTTGGTAATTCCTTATTATTTAACGTGAAGATAAGATTTGTTAGGGATAAGCACTCCGCCCAATGATACATCCTACTGGAGCAAGAGAATATTGTATAGACTAACTTATAAAATTTTGATCTAATGATTAAGACTGATGGTACCTATACAATAAATCACGAGTTCAGATTAAATCTCATATCATGATCAAACTATGTCATTTAATTTGCGTCGATTTCGACACAATGTTAACTAATAAGAAATGGATGAAATATTATGGCACAAATATTCCAACCAAAACAACAAAAAGTAGTTTACATGACTCAGTAAGTCGCTCGATGGAATGCGAAGGGTAATGATGAACTAGTTTGTTTGAACTCGTTCCCCAAAGTATAACTACTTTGACGGATTTTGATTTGCAATTATAATTCCCGTTCTTCTTGTTTCAAAAAAAAAAAGAAAATACGAGACACAATCTATTTAAAAGTACACAAGGAGTACAAACAAGTTGTCACTAACAAAAAAAAAAACTTGTTACTCCGTATATATTCATTGTCTGAAGATCTGAAGCTCTTTGATCCCCTTTCAATTGAAATGTAACCATATTCCATTTTTTGTTTCTTTCTTTTTTTTTTTTTCTTTTTCCATTTTATAACAACATTTTAAGCTTAATTAGGTTAATCTGCCATGCAAAGTTGGAGCCTGAATATGTCGTCAACTTAACAAATCCTTCTAGGAGGCGTACATGTACGTGTTTCCTTTTGTTGCTAGACTTTGGCCAAGGTTGTAACGTTTGTTGGTGCATATTAATTCCTACCACCACCACCTCCTCCTCCAGCGCGTCCATTTTCTCAATATCTGTTTCGCCTTAACCTCATAAATCTTCGCTAGAACTCCCCTGTGCCACCCACCCATCCACGCGCCTTCTTACACTATTTTGTTTTTCCAAGAAAGCCTTAATAACTTGAGGTGCTTGAGGAGGTTCTAATATACATGGGTTTGTATTAGAAGGACCCTTAACCATATTGTCTAGTCTAAACTGCTTCTGTAGCCCTTCTTGAAGGCAAGCCATTTCCTCCGAGCACGTTTCATTAACTCCCGGTGGCACAGTTGGTTTATACCTTAAAAGTTTCGCGTACTCATTCAGCAAATGAAACATATAGTCGTAGACATTTTTCATGGTTAATTGTTCTTGAACGAATTTGCTGCCCGCTTTTCCAATCTTTTGTGCCTGTTGATTACATAAACAAAGACGAATATAGTGAATTATCGGTGTATGATCACAAGACCATTTTACTAAAATTTAGAAATCTGTAACATTTTACCTTTTCTGTATGCTTGTTACCCCAATCAACAGCAAACTTCAGGGACTTGCATAAGTTCTCAGGATTAGGATTAATAGGCCAAAAATGCTTCATGGGTATTAAGCTTCTTGTAAAAAATTCGTACCACTTAGGTGTTACAAGGAGTGCTAGAGAATTACATGCTAGAATATATTTCTCACTGACAGACCACGCGATTCCTTCAATATAGATCTTGTACCTTTTCAAGAAAAAATAAATTACAATAAGAACTTGCATAGTGCACAGTTCTGTTTAGGAGATTAACCAATCAGACTTTTACTCCGTATATAATCACTACAAGAAACAAAGAAAATAGCGGCCTAGTATGATTACCAACCTATGAACACATTGGTCAGCTAAATTTGATGACTTGAACCCAAGCTTAGTTTCTTGCTCCCAATCCTGCAAGTGCCAAATAATTAGTCCATATGATCACATAAGCTTAAGTAAATTATTGTAAAAACGTCGTGTGTAGGCTATTAGGCTACGACGATTTACTTAGGATTGGTGTTACCTGAGTAGCAATCTGAGTTTTCCACTGGTCAGTAGAATTGCACTGAAGAAGCTTAATTCTGTCACCCATATCAGCATTCCCTTTCCAAAAGGCAAAAGGTAACCTATCCATCCATGGAACTCTATTGTTTCCTTCTGCTAAATCCTTCTTCAATCCTTCCCAACCCTTTATATTAATTTCTGGCCTGTTAAGGAACAAACATATGCGATTATATACTTCTTATGATAAGTCTAGCTTAGAGTAATCAAGTATGGCCTAGTCTGATTAGAGCAGCCTAACTGCGGCCTGGTTCATGATCAGCTCTAATATGCTTACGAAAATAGAACGTGTTTATATTTCTTAAAATAAGGTTCTTAGCTTCTTACCAGCCCCAAAAAGACCAGTCAGGAAACACTATATCAAGAGTATCATCATCTCCACAATAGTGAAACAAAGGAGGAGCATTTGATTCATGTCCGGTGTAGTTACTCTTGCGAACCACAGGAACATCCCCTGCCTCGAACATGATATCCAAGTCCGGTAGCTTCCCTGGATAAAGTCTTAGAAGCTGCAGTATTCCCCAAATGGTAAAAACATCCCTTGTTTGATAAGCATCTCTGTATTTTTCCCAATATACCTTACCATTAACCACAACTAGTCTAAAAAACGCGAATTCTTTAGCTGCTTCAACCATGTCCCTAGTGATGCCGGTGTCTCTCCAAGGCCGGAGGTCTTCGTGGATCCATTTGAAGTACTCGGGGCATGTTCGGGTTGATGGGTTAGTAGGGTTGAATGTGGTTGGGTAGTAATTGGAAGGGCATGTTTGGGTGGCATTGATCATTTCAGGGGTGCATTGTAAAGGGAATTCTGTTTTTTTAAAAGGGTGAGATTGTGTTACAGTTATTTGTTTGGAGCCTGGGAGTGCTTTTCTGATTAATCTTGTTGCTGAAATTGATGGCTGCGCAATTAGAAATGAAGAATTAGTTTCGTTTTAAAACAATCTTAGTATTGTTTCATAATTATAGCATAATCGAACACCCAATGTTCCTATAGTCCTTTTAGGACGGGAATCTCTTTAAAGGTATTGGGGTAATGTTAATGTTGAGATAGAAATGTGAGAACGTCAACAAATATATAACAAGCACATACGTTTCCTTACACAATTACTCTTAGAACAAAAGCCAAAAAGGGATTAACCATTTCATCACGATTACTTAATCACAAATTACAATCAAGCTATGAAGTTTCAAAGATTAATTCTAATTTCCTAAAATCAGTCATAAATTACATAATATGTCATGCTCTTGATGAAATTTCTTCAAAGTTGAAGAACACAACAATGAATATGATATCGAAAAATAGGGATCAAAGACTTACAATGGTCATGTACCGGGTTCCAACGAAGGCACCAACGAGGAGGATGGCATAAAACAGGATTACAGTTGAAGCCCTTCGCTTGAAAGGCCTTGTTATGGCTTCTAACAATTGAGAATGCATCTTGAGTTGTATACATTGACCATATTATTGGCAATGTATGGTGTGGAAATTGAAAAGACCAAAAGAAAAGAGAAAAAAACGTATTTTCTTGTTGGAAAAAGAAATGAAAATTGTAGAAAAGAAGCGCAATTTTCTCTGTCAAACCAGAAAATGCATCACACATATTCCATAGCCTCATCCTTTGAAACTTGTCTTATGTACTATCTTTAGCTAGAAAATTTCTCATTTTAATTGCTATTTGGCATGTATTTTTTCTTTTAAAACCTTTGTTACGCGACAAGTTTAGGGTAAAGGTTTAATAGCATAAAATGGGAAATAATTTAATTATTTTTTTGTTGTTTAGAGAGCTACAAGGACGGGGTGGGAATCGATCTCAGGATCTCCCGAAAACGGGAGGGAAGCTCTAACCACTTGAGCTATCCCACACTCTCAAACAATTTATATTATCTCTGTCAAACGAGAATTAACATTATTACGAGCTGTTAGAAAATAAATTGGAAAAAAAAAAAAAAAAAAAAAAAAAAAAAAAAAACTTTGTATAAGAGAGCAAGTAACAAGCCACTTATGCATTTTTTCATACATAGTTAGGGGTGGGACTTTTCAAACCGAACCGTAAAACCGTCCGTTATCGAACCGAACCATCACGGATCGAACTGTTTATAAACCGCTAGTTTTAAACCGAAAACCGAACTGAACCGTATAATGTCAAACCGAAACCGAACCAAACCGATTAATGTTAACCCGTTACGAACCGTAAACCGATAACAAACCAAACCGTTTATAAACCGAAACCGTTTGAACCGATTAATGTTAACCCGCTAACTGTTTAAACCGAACCGATTATAAACCGAAACCGTTTGAATAGTAGGAAAAGAACCGTTTAAATCGAACCATTTACAATCCGCTAACCGTTTACACCAAACCGTTGTAACCTGTTAAGCCGTTTAAACCGAACTATTTTCAAACCGCAACCCGTTTAAACCGATCCGATTACAAACTGTTTAAAACAAACCGTTTACAACCCGTTCCATTCAAATTGGACTTTTTACAGCCTTTAACAATTTGTTAGAATTCCACGAATACATTTGATGTTTAATGTAGTTTAACAGTACAATTTTTTGTACGTATAATTATTAATTTAAATTTATAAATTTTTTTGCTATTATAAAATTAAAATTATATTCTTGCATTACTAAATTAGGAGATATAAATTGAATAAAAAAATTATAAAAAATCTGGCCACCCATCCAATCCAACACCCTCCACCTACCCACCACCGTAACCCACCCTAACACCACCCCCGCCGTCACCCCAGACTCACCCTATCACCACCACATCCCACCACCGTCACCCCAGACCCACCCTAACACTACCCCCACCCACCACCGTTACCGTAACCCACCTCCACCCCACCACCGTTACCGTAACCCACCCCCACCCCACCACCATCAACCCAGACACACCCTAACACCACCCCCACCCACCATAATTATCATAACCCACCCCACCCCACCCCACCACCCACCGTAAATACAAAAAAACCCAGACCCAAACCCCCACCCACCCCATCCACCACCGTCACCGTAAATAATAAAACCCAGACCCATACCCCACCCCACCTACCACCATCACCGTAACGCACCCCACCCACCCCACCCACCATTGTCACTGTACAAAAAAAAAAAAAAAAAAAAAACCAGGCCCAACCCCAACCTCACCCACCACCGTCACCGTAACACACCCCACCCTACCCCATACGAAAAAAATCGGAAAAAAAAAAACCCAAACCCACTGTAACCCCACCCCACCCATCCCCACGAAACCCAACATCCTCGAAACCCCCCCCTCAACTCACTCTAACTACTCACCCACCATAAAACTCCCTCCCTCCCTTGAAAAATCCTCCCTCCCCTCCCACCCGAACCCACTCTAACCGCCGCCGAACCCACCCTAACTTGGCCCCCTCCGTCGCCCACAACCTGAAATGAAAAGGAAGAACGAAAATACCTTATATATTATTATATTAATCCCGAATTTTGCCTCGAATTTGGTTTTAAAAGGCCAAATTCGATCATGCAACAACTAGATCTAGAGTTTCGTGGTCGAATTTGACCATAAAAACCGTCGTGCGTGGTGCCGGTGGACGGTGACGGAAAACGAGATGGAAGAAGGAGAACATAGATGGAAGAAGGGAAAAGAAGAAAGGAAGATGGAAGAGGAGATGAGAGAGAAAACGGGAGAGCAGTGAGCATATTAGCAGCCATGGCTCAAAAAATTGATAATATTACAGAAGAGGAGAGAGAAAACGAAAGAGAAATCAAAGAGTACTAAAGAGACAATGGTAAGAGTGATTTGATTAGTGGAAAAGAAAACACACAGATCATGAATTGGAATGTGTGCGATGATAGGCCGTTAGATGACATGCAAATCAATGGCTGATATTTAATTTAAGACGGTGACACGGATCGTGGAATGATGGATTAGGATAGTATGTTTTTTTTTATTCATAGCTACGTACTAATAAAAACACTATTGTACTCTTAAAAAATGATTAACTTTATGTAACTTATCAATTGTAAGAAACAGAAATGTTTGGAAATTCAAATTGATTCAATACGACATATTTAATGTATATTAGTTATTATATGTAATAAATAATAATGTATGGTACGATTGGTATCATACTATCATTGGTATGAATAGATAATAAATAAATGTATCTGATTATTAAAACTTAAAACAGTTGATGATCGATCTAATTGAATACTTCTACTTCTCCATCCGTTTTCTTTAACTTGCAAGTTGCAACATATATATGTTGCAGCCTTGTAGGCATGTAATCTTAAAAGGTGATCAGAGAGGGTAAGAGAACAAAGTAATTCAGCAATATAACTTTAACACCAAAATTATGGAATAGTTACAAACAATTGTCAATTATTACTTTATTAGACTAATGGGAAATTGAATAATTGTGATTTTAATTAAATATCCAAATATAGTTCTGTAACATTAAATTATTAGTTTATTACAATATCAATTATCGATTTATCGTATTCAAAGTACCAACTCATCAAATCATGATCATGACGCGATCTTTAAAACAAGAAGTTGATAACCTGATAATAATCAATAATGAAACAATAATACATTAATACCTTATAAATTTGTAATAGACTAATATTTAATAAACAACAACAAGACTATAACCAAACTTGAAACATAACACATTAACATGATATAGAATATGAGAATTTCTGTAATTCTATATAATCTGATATCTGAATCGATTTATCATATTCAAAGTAGCAACTCATAAAAATATGGTCATGACACGATATCTAAAACAATCCAACAAGAAGCTGATAACCTGATAATATTTGATAATGAAACAATAATATATTATAAATTTATAATAGACTAATATGATAATATCTAATAAACAACAACAAGAGTATAACCAAACTTGAAACATAACATATTAACATGATATAAAATAATTGAATAAATGAAGATTTGTGTAATTGTATATAATCCGATGTCTGAAAATAAAGTGACGAAATACCAACTTGATATAAAACGAAACCAGCTAATCGGTCAAAAACTCTTTAAACCCAATTTCTACTCGATCCATTTTTTTTTTCACCAACCTATACTGACCTGCTAATGAAATGGAAATACTAGTCCCAACTTGATATAAAACAAAACGCGCTAACTGGTCAAAACCACTTTTTAGAACTCAATTTCAACCCGAATCAAACCGACTTTATCTAGTTCGCTAAAGAAATGAACCTTTTCAACCCGATCCAATTTAACCGATTACCAAACTAACCCGAATGATTTTAGCACCAAACCGAGTATAAACCGAACCGATATGAATCGAACTAGCATTAACTAGGGTAAACCCGCCCCTGAACCGACCCGTTTCAAAATAATTCGTTCATGACCCGAACCGATATGAACCTGAACCGACGTTGACCCGGTAAAACCGCCCCTGAACCGACCTGTTTCAAACCGATCCGATTATGAACCGAATCGTTTAAAAACCGAACCAGCATTGACCCGAGTAAACCCGCCCCTGAACTGACTTGTGTCTAACCGATCTGATTATGACCCGAACTGTTTATAAACCGAATCGTTTATGACCTGAACCGAATTTAAACCGTACAAAAATAAACCGAAACCGAATCGACCTGTGACTAATCAGAACCGAACTGAACCGACCCGCCGTTTAAATGAAACTGTTTCAACCCGAACCGTTTCAAACCGAAACCGTTTCAAACCGAAGTCAAACCGAACTGCCAAACCGAAGTCCCACCCCTATACATAGTTACAAAACTGATCCGTAACCAATAATTTACCCCCAAAAAAAGGTGCTTATTTACAAAATTGGACAATACTCCGTATATAGTACTTGATCTAAACAAAAAAATTAGCTATCACCCTACTCTACTCAAACCCTCAACATCCCTCAAAATCTCCTCTTTAGTTTTAAGAAATGTTTGAAGATGATGAGGATCATAAGCAGGAGGAATTGAACAAGGGCTTGTTTGGGAAGGAGCTTTTACTAGGGAATTTAATTTCCACTCTTTATCTTTGAGAGAAGTTTTGCAAGCCATTGTTTCTGTACAAACTTCTACTGCATTAGGAGGAATAGTTGGCTTGTATTTCATGAGTTTTCCATATTCATTTAACAAATGAAACATGTAATCATAAATGTATTTCATGTTTAGCTCCTCTGTTATGAACTTGCTTCCACCCTTTGCTATCTCTTGTGCCTGCATTTTGTTAAGAATTCAAGATCATGATTCAAGGATTCGTGGTTTTATTATTTTAGATGTTCAAAGGTGGAGAAAAATAATCCGAACTATTAACTTTCCTTATTTATTTATTACGTAATTAAAGATATTTATGGTCAAGCATGTCTTTAAAAACAAAACTGTACAAGCTAAGTAATTCTAGATCAAGAGAAAAGAGGAAAGCGTACCTTGTTTGGATGTTTATTTCCCCAAACAACAGCAAATTTGATGGATTCACATAATTTGGAGGGATTAATAGGCCAATATTGTTTCAATGGTAGCAAACTTCTTGTATAAAACTCGTAGTATTGCGGTTGTACCAGCAGTAACATAGAATCACAAGCTTGTATGTATTTCCCACTTGTCGACCATGCTTTTCCTTCCATGAATATTTTGTACCTTCATTAACGATCAAAATATGCAATGCAATTAATTATGGTAGAAAACTCAGTACTTCACCATGCGTCCATGCCAATGTGCATTTAAAAGTTCAAGTTCAAATTCAAATTCTAACTTACTAACCTTAGAAAGTGACTTATTATATTGGAGCGGACTAAAACTGAATTGTGGCATATGTTTATAGACTCGCTATCATTTGTACACATATGACCCTGTACTTGTTAATGTAAATGAAGAAAATAAACTTACCGGTGGGTGCATTGAGCTGCCATATTTGATTGTTTAAAGCCATGATTAACTTCCTCTGGCGAACTCTGAGAAACAAAAAGAAAGTAACAAATAACTTCAAATTTGGTTAGGGTCATTTTTCTTTTTTTTTTTTTTTTTTTATCATACTCAAAACGTGTGAAAAGTTATGTAAGACATGGAATAATAATAACAAGATACTTATATGGATCATATTTATGTTGGTAAGTTCATGTCAAGTCGGGTTTAAGTTGTTCTCAGTAATTTCAGGTCGTGTTAGAGATTACTGGGTAGAGGAAAAGAAGATTTGTTACCTGATCATAAATCTGAGCTTTCGAAGCTCGAGTTGAATTGCATCTTAGAAGGTCTCTTCTGTTTCCTGTTAAAGAATTACCTTTCCAATAGGCATAGGGCACTCTGTTTACCCATTTCACTTTTTGGTTGCCTTCAATTATGTCATTTAATTGGGTCCCCCATGGCTTTATGTTTTTCTCATGCCTGCAGCACCATAGTAAGATTTAGTACACTCTAATTAATGGGAATTACAACTACGATTAACATAACTTTAGCGATAGCAACTTGAGTTGTGTCTTTTGTTTCCTTCGTCCCACTACAATTGTCCCATTTGACTCTATAAACTTTCATAATATTATAAAAATACGAGTACAATTTGTAGAAGAGTACAGTACTTCATTTGCTCATACGTATATTTTAATAGACCCCACCTCTTCTGTTTTAACGGTACCACCACACATTACATTATGACATAATTAGGCCCCACACATTATTATAAATCAACCATGGCGTAAAAAAAAATAATTCATCATTAAAGTAGCATAAAGAGATCAACATTGAGCCCAAAACATCAATTATCAATACATGTCTTGCCTCTGTACTTAACTAGATTTGGACTATCTTATTAACAAAAATAAACAGTGGAGAATTGGAGATATTTTAGAATGTTTAGATTCACATTTTGAAAATTATAATGGTATATAATTGAATTTTCTAATACTTCTTACATCACCACTACAAGTAACATTATTATATACGAGAATTATTATAAAGATTTATATCTTCTATGTAAAATCACGTCAAGACATCAGATTAGTAAAAGTCATGAATTTATAACAATTATTTATGGACAGAAAGAGTGTTAAAAGTAAATTAATGACATCTGATTAGTAAAAGTCATGAATTTATAACCATTATTTACGGACAGAAAGAGTGTTAAGAGTAAATTAATGACGGGCATTAATTAAAATATATATATAAAAAAAAAAAAATAAAGAGGAAAAGGAGAAACATTACCAACCCCAAAAAGACCAATCTGGGAAAGGAATATCAAAATGTTGATCATCTCCAAAATAATGAAACATAGGAGGAACAGGTGAAGTGTAATTAGCAGCAGCTTCATCATAATCAAACTTCTTAATCACTGGTTTATCACCACTCTCAAACATTAAATCCAAATCAGGCAATTTTCCAGGGTACAATCTTAGTAGTTGCAAAATCCCCCAAATTGTAAACATATCTCTTGTTTCATATATACTTTTATACCTTTGAAGAAATACTCTTCCTTCCAATATTATTAGCCGGAAAGACGCGAAGTTCTTTCCGGCTTCTAATGATTCCTTTGTGATCCCTTTTGATACCCAAGGTCGCAAATCTTCATGGATCCACCGAAAGTAATTCGGGCACGAGTCGATTGAAGATGATATGATATTTGCCTCATTGACTTCTATTGTGGTTGGATAGTTGGTTTTAAGGCATGTTTGGTTTGTGCTTGTTGTGGGACAAATGATGGGGTATTCTGTTGTTGCTTTTGATGAATGTATTGCATTTTTTGGTGTGTTTCCAACTGAGGTTGGGATGTTTTTGTTGCTTGAATCTGGTGATTTACTGTAATTTGTGATCTTAATTGAAGGCTGAGAAACAAAATCAATGGAATCAATAAACAAGAAACTATAATCAATATGACAATATATTATAATTTAACTATTTCTAGTTCTGACGGGTTCGGTGCATTAAAATGTCGGTAATGACCAAATTCTAAAATTTATTTTCAAATAGTCAATAACAAAAATAGCAAGAAAGAAGGATTTTTCAAAGAGTAAGCGAGGATTCTCTCCAACTACTCGACCATCAAGTTACGAGTTAAAATGTGAGATCTCTAAATCTAACTCGAGTAATTAGACCGTCTAGTAACTGAATCGTAAAACAATATGATCAAATTAAAGGACTTACCACAGTGTGATCGAAACGTCGAACTAGAAGGATGCAACCAAGGAATAGAAAGATGTAAAAATAAAAGAGAATTTTCTTTTTATTGACTGTAAACCAAGCCATATCAATCTTCCCCACCACCATTAGATTTTTTGTGGTGGGCTGATCAACTATTTAGCAACCAAGTTCTAATTCTCAATATTTAGCACCCCAGAAAAAGAATAATTTAATCAACTACTGATTAAAGACAAAATGGTATAGATATATAATTAATTGTTGCTTTTTCATGAATGAAAGCATTATTGTAATATACTAGTACAAAAAGGAAAAATAAATATAAAAAAAAAAAAAAAAAAAGTGTTGTTGATTTGTTGGCATGTGTTTTTGGTAGTCTTCTGAAGCTTAGTTTGACTTGTAAACAATTTTATTTGTTTTTAATTTTTATTCTTGGGTGGTTGGGAAATGGGGAGTGAGAGACATGACTAGCCCATTAGCTTGGTTAATTATACTTTAATATGTTTTAATACACGTAGTATACTTGGTACGAAGTACGAGTATAATTTTATTGGATACATTATTGAGATTCCATTATAAGGTTTTACACACATGATTTAATAGATCAGATTCTTACATCTGACAACGTTTGGTGAATGTTGATGATGCACTTGGTCTTTTGTAAGCCATCGGTGGCCTGTAAGATTTTGAAATTTGTAATATTTGGCTACTACTATAATTGTCTTGTATGGATTAAAATTTATATTCATCATTAATTTGTTTGTGAATGTCAACTGGTTTATTTGGTTAAACTTTTAAAGGTAAAACTCAAATTGTAGAATCGAATCTCATTTATTTCGTTGTCTTTGAGGCTTTCTTAGTTTACTCTCAAAAAAATTATTGTTCCATTCGTTCTATTGTTCTAATATTAAAGTCATGTAATTCATCTTGGATGTGTTCTCTTCACTTGAACTTATTTAAGCTTGTTTGATTAAACATGACCTTAGACCTGATGATTAGATTAAACCTAATCACCCTTATTATTAACTAATTAGCTCTGAATTATTTTAAAATTTTCTTTTAAAGTGAGACCTTTTAACAAAGCAGTAAAAAAAATACTCCATAGAGAGAAATTAAATATTTCGTACTTTATTAAGAAAGTTACATAATATTTACAAGTTTACATGTTATATATAATTATAGCCAATTTGAAAATGGTGCAATTGCTTTTGAGAAGTATTATTTTGGAATCAACTTCTCCATGGCTTTTCCATGTTACATGCCATGGCTTTTCCTACCTTCACATGTTATTATACATATAACATATTGGCCTATTAGAAAGAGACCAATTAGGCCAAGTTCAAATACTCATACTACTTGTTTAGTGCAAAGAGTACGGTCGGCTAGCAATTTTGTAGCAAACACAAACCAATAGAAACCTTGCACATTTTAATGATTTTAAATCTTGGTTGTTGAGTAGACTAAATCTTTTGAGTATTTATTTCTCGAATTTTAGGTGTATAGTTTTTGCTATTTTTTAGGAAAAAAAAAAGTCATGACATTTGTTTATGAGAGCGAAATTTCTAGTAAATGATCAAACATTATCAATTTATATAATGATGTGATTGAGTTAACATTGGTTATTATGGAAATAGATCGAATTGTTTAGTTTGCTTTCGTTTGAAAGATTCATACCACACTATTCATTATCAATCTTGGGATAGGTAATTACATACCATCCAATAGATAGAGCGAAAGTTAAGCACAACATATTGTTATTACTTCATGACGACGTTTACAATGCACAAGAATACGAAAGTTGTAATTCAATCAAGGTTTCCTTTTAGGGTTCAAATTTTCCCAATACTCATCTTCCCAAATCTCTACTTGCCTTGTCAAATTAGCTTTCTTCTCTAGAAAACTTCTAAAAGCTAAGGGATCATAAGGAGGTGGCATAGAGCAAGGAATTCCATTACTAGGAGATTTTTCCAAGGATTCCTCCATGAACTTCCTCCAGTTACCTTTAGCTGCACACGCCATTGCCTCGGAGCAAAGCTCAATCGCTTTGGGAGGTATCGAGGGTTTAAACCTTAATAGCTTTGCATACTCATTCAACAAATGGAACATATAATCATAAACATAGTCCATCTTCATATCTTCATGGATGTACCTACTTGCGGCCTGCCCTATCGCATGAGCCTATTCAATCATATAGATTAATACGAGATTAATAATAACAAATTTAAGTCACACTATACAAATAATGTGACGTTTAATTACCTTATCAACGTGACTATTTCCCCATTCAACAGCAAACTTGAGAGATTTGCATTTATCATTGTTCTTAATGGGCCAATAGTGGACCAAGGGCAACATCCCTCTATTGAAAAAGTCATGATATGTGGGCTTTACTACCAATGTCATAGAATCACATCCTAGAATGTATTTCTCACTAACTGACCAAGCCCATCCTTCAATATAGATCTTGTACCTTTATGATATGAAACAAATATTAGAATAGATTAATAGTATAAAATTATTGTAAAAAATAAATTAATAAGTTTAATATAATACCTATGGGTGCACTGATCTTTAAGGTTGGATTCTTTAAACCCTACTTTAGCTTGTTTTTCCCAGTTCTGCAATCAAATGTAAATGTTTTGAGTTCAAACTTTACTACCCTCCGTTAGGGCAAAGTGGTTTTGAAAACGACGCAATTCCATAATGAAAGGTATAATGCTCCTTTCTCAAATGATATTAATGTTTTCGGGTATTGTCTTGATCATGTTAAGTTTTCAAGACGTCGATTAATCATATGTGATGGTATTGAACTACCTAATGGAAATGTTCAGGTGAATTGATGAAAAGAGACCTGAGAATAGATGCGAACGCTCCAATCAGTAGTGTTAGTAGCATTGCACTTGAGCAAATCTGCCCTCCATGGTGCAACTTTAGGGTTGCCTCTCCAATAAGCTAAGGGTATCCTGTCCTTCCATTTCATCATCTTGCTCCCTTCTTGTATTTCAATAGATGTGTTTCTCCATGGTTTTATGTTACACTCCGCCCTACTCAATTATACACAGCGTTATAATCAAATCTATAATCCATTTTCTCTCTCTAGTGTCGAGAGCAACAGGGAAACAATGTAGATGAGATTTGATCTCGGGTTGAAATCAAGAAATTTAAAATGAGAAGCCAAAACTTACCAACCCCAAAAGGACCAATCAGGAAAAACAATGTCCAAACTCCATGGATCAGAGCAATACTTAAACAAGGGTGGTGGCCCAGAATAAGGCTTCTTAAAATTGTTTGCTGGAATTACAGGCCTATCACCACAATCAAACATTAGCTCCAAATCAGGCAATCTCCCAGGATACCGCCTTAGTAGTTGTAGGATTCCCCACAAAGTGAACTCATCTCTAGTTTGAATTGAATCCCTGTACTTCTCTACATACACCCTTCCTTCTAGGATCACTAGCTTAAAGTTGGCTGTCTTTCGACCCGCTTCAACCATTTGTTTCGTGACACCCGTCTCCTTCCATGGCCGTAGATCTTCATGGATCCAACGGAAGTAGTCTGGGCACGTTGCTGGATGACCAAGATTCGTAGAGGCATAGTTTGTAGGGTAGTTGTGAGGACATGATTGGGCGGTACTATTGATCACACATTGTAGTGGATATTGCTGGGATGGCGGCGGTGGTGGTGATGCCAAAGATTTAGAAGTCGAAATACATAGTTTTTGGATTGATGATCTCATTTGCTATAATTAGGAGAATAAAATTATCAACGATATTAACAACTAGGCAAGTTTAAAATAAATGCTAAAACATGTATAATACATATATGAAGTAGATAGGAATCAAATCTTAACCTTCTTTCAAAAAAAAAAAAAAATCTTAACCTAACATGCATGGAAATATGCAATTAGGGGGGGGGGGGAATTTTATGAAATTTGATCCAATATCTAATCTAAATTTTCTTTCCTAATTTCATTTTTGATATCTAATTGATCTATTGTTAAACGTTAAAGTAGGCTTGTACAAAACTATCCGAGAATCCGAAATCCGATAATCCAACCCGCAACCGTTCCGAATTTTTGGATATCCAATCCGAGTTTTTATTTCGGATCGGATATCCGATTCGAAAAAGCTGATATCGGATGCAGATTTGGATATTGATTTTCAAAATTTCGAATATCCGATATCCGAAATATAAAGGCTAAAATAGTGAAATATATATATCAATATTTAAATTATTCATATAAAACTGACCCTGTATTATTAACTTGTTATAATATTCTGAATATATTTGATGATAATTTTTATTGCAAAAAGACTACTATTTTGTTAAAATATGTTGAACTTAGCAATTAAAAAGCGGTAAAATTAGTGAAATTTAGAAAGTAATCATAATCATTACTTAATATTGGATAATGGATATCCGAAGCATCTGATCCGAAAATTTCGGATATCCGAAATTTTCGAATCGGATTTGGATTTCAGTTTCTGATATTCGAGTATTCAGATATCCGATCCGACATGTGATTTCGGATCGGATATCCGATCCGTGAACAGGCCTACATTAAAGAGTAATAGCAACAAAAAATTCGCTATTTAAAAACAAAGTTTAAAATTTGACTTACAGAATTACTCCAACCAACAAAAAGTTCATAGCAAAAGAGGGTAAAGAAGAAAAATAGACAGAATAAGACATTGACAGCAACAGCCCGTTTCTTCGACTCTTGACATCGTGGTCCTGTGACTATGTTTAGCCAATCGAGTGCATGATAACTTCCATAACCCAAAGTTTTCCGACCAAAGAACTTAAACTCGTTTTTCATGGCAGTGAGGGTCTGTGATGCCTATGCCTAAAAGTGTATCATATACACTGTAGATATTAATAAATCTAGCTACAATGGAAATTAGGAAGCAAAACAATGGTATTAAAGACATTGATTTCGTGACTAAGTGGGGCCACAAGTCACCTTTTTCTTGTATGTTAGGCCAACGTATTGCATGTTCCAAAGATGATCCTTCTTGTGTATATGATGTTGAAACGTATTAAGGTCACATTGTTTACACCTTTGAATGCTCGAGAGATGCTACATGTTGCTCCAAGTATTTTCTTGAGCTTCACGTTATCTCCCCGGCTGCAAAACAGTAACAAAGGCAGAATCTTGTAACCTGTACTGTCATGCAATTCATGCCAATTACATTCTGTTGCAATAAATTCAACCTTAATTCGGTTTGATCTAGGCTAAACCCTTATCATGCTACATTCCTACGCACAAGGATAAAGACGTGAGCAAGAGGTTTCGTAAGGGCACCAACATATTGCTCAATTGATAATGCTCTCTAACAAAGTGAAAATCAAGTGCAATATATCCATGTGAATGAAAAAAGTGGGTCTGCACTAAAAATAGTAGCAACCAAGTTGTCACAGTAAATGTGGGTGTTTGAGAAAGAGATCGCATACACATAACCTATGTGGTTGAGGCTCCTACATTTTAGTGTTCCGTAGATTGTTTTATTTATTTTTTGGTATAAACAACATCCTTATCTTACAGCTCAATTTCGCCTCAAGTAGCATGTCAATGTACTGAAAATTTTGAAGTTTTTCATCAGACAGAAGGTATGCCCTTCAAAAACGGGATATAAGAGGAAAAAAAAAAAAAAAAAAAAAAAAAAAAAAAAAAAATTGGGATAAATCTCAACAGCTTCTGTGGCTTTAAAATTCTGTGGCTAGCTCATGAGCTCCCAAAACATCAAAATCAGGATGTTTCTGCCTTTCTGGTCAAGATTCTTCAGACTTCACACTAAATCTAGCATTATTTCACACAAATATTGGATCTAATTTTCAATTTAACTGGAATCTACTGTATGTAATCCTGAATATACATGATTTTTCCATAATTAAACTTATTTATTCAATGGTTGACTGCAGAATATATAAGCTTTCAAGTCATTCAGAATGCTCAATGAATGTGCCACGTTCAAATCGATGAATCAATTTCCATGAAAAGCCAATGCATACACATTGAAAGACAGACATTCAATTAGTTCAATCAACAGTTAGCATTTCTGCAAGTACTTTACTTTCCCATTAAATAAATTTATATAAGAAAATAAATAAATAAAAAAGGATCAATTTTAAGTTGAGCTTGAAGAGTGTCATTTACCTCTTTACAGGCTAATAAAGAACATATCAGAATCAACAGGTTTCAAGAGCCAATTGCAGAAAGTTGAGCTCCCCTTCAATATCTTAGACATTTGGTGGTACTCATGAGCATTTTCCTACAAAAGATATCAAAATGAATTAAGAACTTTAGAAGAGCAGGAATATATTCTGGCAATAAGAAGGGATTATATATTTATGAAAGAACCAGAAAGTGAAACAGATTGAAGGCAGGGGTGGAATGATGATTGGCTGTTATTCTTCAACTAGTGACATAAATTTCTTTTTTCAAACATTATCAAATTGTGCATATAGGCTATAGCTAGAGGACATAAGGGAGGCTTTTAGCCTTCAAATTTCACTTCAATTGGCCAGCAGCTCATTGAAATTAGATTGTTCTGTTTCACACGGGAGTCGGGAGACCTTTTACCAAGGACAAGTTAAGCAGACATTACGAATTTTTAAGGATTTAATTACACTCTGGTTGTAACTGTCAGCAACATACGGAGTACTATACAATATCAATTCAGGATCTCACTTACTGTATCACAAATTCGTCACCACAATTAGAGTTTAACCACCCAATTCGGAATAAATTCGTGTGGTTCCTCAACAACTAGGGCACCAAAATATTAAACCACGACAAGGGAGCAAGTCAAAATAGAAAAACTCAAATTAAATTTAGACAGAATTGGGCTCATGAACAATTGAGTTCTACCATGTCAAAGTGAAATTCTTCCGCCAAATTATATTCCTTCCCTGTCCCTACCAAGATATAGAACTGACTAATCCTAAGGCAGGGTCAAGAAACTCACTGCCATGACAATTAAGCATTCCATGACATCTTAGGGTCTCATATAGTCATTCAAAATCCTGGCCCATAAATGGACCTCTTATTAAGGTCGGCTCAGGTTGTTGTATAAGAAGCCCCTGTCGCCTAGAGCTAATTCACCTGTATATGCAAGGATGATATACTTCCTAGGGGCTAGGGCACTTCCAAAAAATCACTTCAGTCAAGGGGATCAAAGCCAATGTCATGTTACCTTAAGTTCTCTATATGACATCGTTTTGTTTTTCCAATCACCTGAAGAATTGCACCTAAAGGACAAAAAACATTCCAACAATCTCCTCCTGCAATATGCACAGTAATTGATATAAGACACAAGATAGACAGTGACACCTGACACCATTTACAACTATATACACACAAATATTATCAACACTACCACCATAAACTAACAAAGTTCAAGCCTCTAAGGATGTCAAGTTGTCCAGATGTAAGCAAAGTCACCTTAAAACATTTTTAGTACATGACTTATCAGAATTTAATAATATTAAAAAATAACTAAAAAATTCAGCCAAGTGATAATAATCCTTAAGAAACATTACCATGAAGAAAAAAATTAAGCAAACAAATATATTAATTAAAAGTTACTTGCACAAGGATGACTCAGTGGATGGAAATAATGCTCCCTTTGAAGAGGTTCCTTGCTTTCTTCCAGTTGTCCCAAGGATAACCTCATGTAATTCATGCTTATTCCAGCATATGGAGTACCTGCACATCACCGCAGCTTAAATTTTGCAACTCAAAGTCACATATCCACCACCAGGAAATGAACAACCAAATGAAGACTCACCCACATGTTAAAGTCGCCTGAGCAGAACCAAGATGCTGAAATTCCTTAGGTGGGACAGGAGCTTCAAAAAATAAAGGCTGCAAAATCAAGAGGCCACTTTTATGATGAGCCAAAGTGCATACTGCATTGACATTTAACACACTATACATACCTCATTAATTAGAAAAGGATCAACTAACATATTACACAAAGGTGTTAGCCTATCATACAACGCCCTCCTCAAGCTTTCCTTCAGGGAAAGGGTTTGAGAACTACTGCATGATTGCCCAATGGTGACTGAAGAGATATAAACAGGTTGGAGCAGGTAGGAAAGCATTGCACCTGATACGAAAGTAAAGTACAAAACTCGTTATCAAAGACATACCATAGATCTATGTGTAACAACTAAATAAATGATGTTTCTATTCGTAAACAGACTTGTAATTTATTTTCCTCATATTCAGAATACCAATGTAGTGTTTCTGATTGCCTTGTAGCTTTTTACATTCATTGTTCTTTATCCCAACAAATCATGACCGAAACAGTACTCCTTAACTCCAATCTTGACTAATCTTTGCTGCTTTTCGTTTCTTCTATGCATTCAATAGCTCCCTTTTTTTATGTGTGGAGTTTCTAGCATTATGTCAAGCTTCCATGGATAGGATGAATAAATTTAAAAGATCTAAACCCTTTTTTTTCAGTTTCTCATTGACAATTGAACGATCAAATTACCAAACTTATTCACAAACAGAACTCACACACAAGAAATTATATCAAAATTGAGGTCTGGTTGCTCATGGCTTTATTTTAATAGATCATAATTCTTAACACACATGGAACCCTCCAGTGACTGAGAAACTGACTGACCTTGTATTCCAACAACATTCCAGCGTGCTATTTTGTCAGAACAGCTAACAGACGAAGTTGTGACACCACGGCCAGGCTTTCTTTGAACTAAGCCAGTTATTGTTGGACAGTCACCTGCAAAAAAAGTCACCAAGAACAATTTTCAATATTTAGAGACTAACACATAATGAAAATCCATAGACAAGGGCTATGCATTACATTTTTCTAACACGATCTGAAAAATATGTAATGCACCATAAATTTTAACTAATGATGATTATTTTGTAATCTTTAATTTTAACATGAGGATCTAGCAATGCCTTCCCCCATTTATAAGGTTTCAGGCATTATCTCATAAAGGCCATACAATGAATCTACAAAATTTCTTCTACTCAATAAACTTCTACTGATTTCACGTTCAATCAAAAGCACAATAAGCTGTATGGCAACTAGAGCTGCTTACTGTAGAAGCCGCTGCAGACAAGATGCATCTAGTAAAATACTAAAATGTATCACGATATAATGTAACCA